TGCTGCCACAGGGCGGCGGGCTGCGGTGTCAGCGGCGCACGCGGCGCCCGAGTGCGCCGAGCGCGACGGCCCACGGGCGCGGCTCGGACGCAAAGACGATCGTATATAAGACTTTATATACCAATCGAAACGCGCGAGGCTGGTTTTGAACGACTCTGGGAGCCCCGTCGAGGTCGGCAACTTCTCGACCTGCCCGCGCCAACTGACAACTCGCGCTCCAGCCGTCTCGGGCCAGCGCGAGGCGCGTGACGCGTCGCCGTAGATATACTATGATTACTTACAATCAGTGGGGCGCTCGTTTCCACGAACGGGACGGGGGCGAGCGCGGCGCCGCGCCGCCCTGCGGCGGCCTCGGAGCGCCAACCGAAAAGGAAACTTGCGGCGGCGGCCTCGGAGCGCCGCGCGCGCGACCGCCGAGGGCCGAGGTCCGAGGGGCGGCGTGCCGGCAGAACCGCTCGCGGCGCGCGCGGGAACGGGCCGATCCTCTCCGCGCACGCGCTTTCGGGGATCGGCGGCGGCGCTGATTTTTTCGGCGCGGTCGGATCCGCGGCGCGGGCGGCCGATCCTTACGCCCCGACGGCTTTCCTTATGCCCTGGCTCGTCGAGTGCGGGAGAGTTCCGGGGTCCGGAAATACACCCGGTCTGAGACCGGCAACTTGGCTGTGTGCAGTATAATTTGACGAAACCCGTCGCTGCAAAGGCATTCTGAATAATATAAGTTCGCTCTTGTGATGGAGGTGGACGAAGCACGCCTGGTAGCGGAAGCCTTGGTGGCCTTCGTGCCAGCACCGCCTCTGCCAGCACTGCTGCAGCAGCAGCAAGAGCAGCAGCAGCAGGCCCGGGCCCCACCACCTCTCGTCCCCGATGCGTCCGGCGCTTGGGAGGTCCTGATTGCCTGGCTGGCGCCAGCTGATGACCGCCTGAGCACCCTGGACCCTCTGAGGGCGTCATGCAGGCGCCTGCGCGACGTGATAGATGGCGGCTACATCGATGTTCTCAGCGTCAGCTGCTATCAGGGGTCTTCCGGCTGCGAGCCTGATCAGCTCACCGCCACCGCCCGGTGAGGCCGTGGCTGCGGGTCCAGCGGTTGAGGGCGCGCGGCCCGCCGCAGCCAGCAGGCCGGGCGGGCGGGCAGGGGCGCCCTTGCGCCTTGGCCGTGCGCGGCCGGCACTCGGGGTTGCAGGGCTTGGGGACATCGTGTGCCCGTGCCCGTGCTCGGCCGCACCCACCAGCGGGCAGCATGCACCCGCCGCTGCCAGCTGGTGGGTGCGGCTGAGCATGGGCAATGGCGTCTGACGTCCAGCGTGCATCCGCCGCTCCCCGCCCTCCCAACGGCCCACGGCGCCTCCAACATCACATGCAGGCGCATGCAAGGTGCCAAAACCCTTCAGTTTGATTACCTGACTTACGACTCTGACACCGGCACCAGCCCTTCAGAGCGCTGGAGCGTCCTGGCGAGCAACATCCTCGCGCTGACTCAGCAGGTGGCGGCCGTGGAGCAGCTTCCCAGGCTGACCGCGGTGAGGCGCCAGGGTTGCCTTGTGAGGGTGGGGGGTGGCAGAGAGGGGCCCAATTGTATAAAACACGGTCAGGAAGCTTCCTTTCACACTGATCGAGAGCATCCAGCACGTGGAGACGGGGACAAGCTTGCATGAGCATCTGGAGCGCCGACGGGGGCAAGAGGACAGGGGGCATGCCATTGCGTGATCTCGCCTGACAGCGGCGATTACAAACCATTGCGGATCTGCCCCGGATCAGCCACAGCAAACGGCTTCCGTGTGGAGCCACCGATGTGCTGTGACGAAGGCCAGCTGCCTCACTTGCTGTGCGCCCAACCACCTGTTCCCCCCTCCAGGTGCACGCCGTCCCAGGCCACCCGCCGCTGCTTTCGGAGATCGCCCGCGCCGCCGCCTCCGGCAGCCTGCGCACCGTCAGCGTCCGGCTGCTGCCCTTCCACGCGCTCTCTTACTTGGAGCCCGCGACTCCTGCGTCAGCGCGGACGCTCTTGTCGCTCGCGCACCTGGCCGTCTTCCAGAGCCTGCAAGGGCTGACCCTCGGGATGCCACGCAAGCCAGGCGACGACGCGCCGGCGTTCAGCCTGCCGCCGCCGCCGCCGGCGGGGGCGCCGCTGGTCGGCCTGCAGGTTCTCAAGCTGCAGTTTGAGATGTGGCCGGAGATCGCGCGCGCCTTCAGGCTGCTCCTGCCCGCGGCGGCGTCGCTTGAGACCCTCGCACTGGAGGCCTGGCCGCCGAGCGTCGCGCCGCCGGCGCTGACTGGGCTGACCGCGCTGGTGGGCGGCACCCGCAAACGGCGTTGTGCGCGGGGGGAGGTGCACGTGCGAGCGCTGATGGGGACGTTTCCGTCTCTAAGGCACGCCAACACTGCCAACCCCACAATCGCGCGCCCCTGGCCGGCGCCGCTGTGGCCACTTCAAACCGGCCGCAAGCCCCGCGCGCGCACGCGCGACGCTCCTAGCTGTGGCCTGCCGCCTTGCCCTAAATCCGGCCCTCGCGCAGCGGCGGCTGGAGCTCCTGGCATCCAACGACATGGATAACCTGCGGATGCTCGCATGCGTCGCGGGGGATGCGCTAACTGCTGTCACATCCCTCGTGCTTGGAAGCACCTCAGACCCGTGAGCGCCCGCGTCCCCCGCCCCCGGTGCATGAGCGCGGCTCGCGCGCGCATGCCAGCGTGCGCGCATGGCCGCCAAGCGCCGAGAGCCGGGCGCCGCGGCGACCCTCGGCGGGCTCTCTGGCAGGCTCGTGGCCCTCTCCGGGGACTGGAATTGGGCCGGTAATACGGCGCCTGCTGCGGTCGCTCGCCCGCACGCCACCGCAGAACGGCCCTGCAAACTCTGCGACCCAGGATCGACACACCCTGGTGGCGCGCTGTGCATGAGCGTCTCCTGCCGCCGCAACCCCCCCCCCCC